CCGCAAAAAGACACTATCAGAGTCTTTCGAAAAGTAGCAGCCAGTAAATGTGGGCCATTCAGTCGTCGAGAATCTCGAATGTGGTCAAAATCTTCCTCTTTGTAATCGCTAATACAATGTCGAGAAGCACCTTATGATCCTCTTGCGTTAATAAGTATGACGTTGTTTTGAGATTTCTTCACTGCTGATAATTTGATTTCACTTTGATTTAAATGTTTCCCTCTTCGTTCTTAAGAATTAAACTGCTTAATACGTTCTCCAGTGAGCAATCACTAAAAATCCACAGACAGTTAATCCTTCTTGTTGAGCTTTAGAATACAAAGTTCCGGATCTTCTTCGGGAAAAGAAGTCCGGCTAGCAAGACGGTAGTCGATAGATTGCCTAGCGGTCCCGACGCGAACTCTGGAATGTCCACGAGTGATCCAATCCAACCGTGCTTCAAGGAATTAACAGCTTGGCCAATAAGCTCCACTCTCGAGGGTCGACTCTCAATTGGTACCACTCAGTGTTGATCAACGAGACGCGTTTCCTTTATCCTCTAGCGTTGTCTCGTGCTGATCACGTCGTCTTGCAAATTCGCAATTTGTCACCTGAAGATTCTAATGCCTCACAAACTCTCTTCTTGCGTTACGTACGAATTAAATTTATCATTTGCAGTTTTGAACTCGCTGTGATAGTCCAGTAATTTATCTCGAAGATGCGCAGCCTTCAACTTATCTTCTGGTTGCAAACGTCGCGAATTCGAGGCGAGCAACTGCGAGAAGCTTATTTATATTAGTTATCAGTTAAGACGTCACAACAATGATCATCGGAGGAATGTATATTATTACGAATTACGTGTCTCGTTGCTGAAGACACTGAAAATTTCCACGGTCATCTAGAGATATTAGAATCTATTCTAAGACAGAACTATTCGACGACGCGAAAATGAGGCCAGCCGCGGTACTTCGCAAATTGACGTAGTATGCAACTGGCAGCCAACGATTACGACTGCCAGTGTCGTCTCGACAGACACGTCGTAAGAGCGACGAGCCTGTTTGCCACGCGGATTAATTAATTTCAAAACGTTATCTCTGATATCGTGGCTTTTCTCATAGCACGACCTCGAAAGTTCCTCCTTCTGCACGCTCGTCTGGAAGAAGACGATTTCGCTTCTCGGGCTCTCTTTTGTTCCGCGCGCGGTTTCTGCTGATCGTCTCTGAACGTCACGATGCGGTGCCGATGTGTCTGTCAGAGCTGCCACGTGCCGGTTGTTCAAAGAATGTCTCCCGAGGACATTACTTCTCGATCAGATCTTCTGCCCGATCGCGCTCTGTTTGCTGAAGAAATCTAACACTGTTTATCGTTCGTGTTCGATCTTTCTCAATTTACCATGAAATTTTCCTGTTTGTGTGTTTTATTTCTGCATCAACTTGATGAAGAAGATCTGAAACAATAAAAGTGACAGCGATGTTCATGACCTCACTACTGACAGTGAAACAAATAAAATTGTAAAAGTATTTATTTTTATTATTTTTGGCACACAATTCACGTTACATTAAATTAAAATATAACATGTCATATTAAAATACATTTTTCAAGATTTAAAGCTTTCTCATATAAAATATATGAAATTTTCATTGTAAAATCATCATTTGTTGTTCCAGTAGCTCTCTTCATCAGCTATTATACAGTATAAACATGATATGTTTTCTTCGTGTCACAATTTGTAGTTCACGACTTTTTCATACATCATGTCCACCTCTCTCGCTTCTTCCTCTTCTCTTTTCATGAACAATCGAGCAACTCTCCTCCGGAATGGATCAGCTGTAGTTTCGTTGATCGATGTCAATCCGCAGGGTCACCATCGCGTACTCGCTACTCGCTTTATAGCGACTCAAGCAATTCCTAGAATTGCGAACGCGCTTGCATATTGTCAAAGAAAAAAAATTCCGACTGTGCAGATCATGTGTCATCTTCTATGGAAAATGATGAATATCTCCATTAGCGGCATTAGTGTGTCACGTAGTTTTCATATTATTCATGTGACAAAATTCACACCCTAGTGATATCATTTTTTTTATTCCTATAGTTACATAAAAAATATATTTTTTCAAGATTGGTAACATCTAAATATTTTCTTTCACAAAATTTTAAGATTTTATATAGTACATATAAAATTCTTGCTGCCAAAAGTGTATAGGAAAAAAGTGTTTAGTTTTATAAAATATACATTGAGATAATAATCCCTTCAAAGATATTAGATAGCCTAACAATATTTTTTAATCATTAAAACCCTCCCGTTGTAGACTTAATGTTGCTTTGTACTTTGCATTCGGATTTCTTTCAGATCAACGACCACAACGTTTGCTTCAACTCGTCCGAGTTTATCGTGACGAGTCACGACCTGACTTGTAATAAACAAAGTTGTGCACGATGGGCATCATTATTTTTTATTTAACACAAAAATTCCTGACCGCAGGAGAGGATCTATATTTACATTAATGTTGTCGAATCATACATTAGAAATTATAAAAATCTAAAAGATTGGCGTAAAATCATAATAACCGTTGCAAGCCGTTGCAACATCGAGAGAATTCAACGTTTAGATATTTTATTATTATTGCAACAAGGAATTATTTATTATTTATAATTTTTAGTTATTAATTCCTAATTATTTAAATTTTAAGAAATTCATTTTATTAGTATTTGCTTAAATATATATCTATATTTGATTAACATTATTTTAATAAATGCCAGTGTCAAAACACTAAAATAAAATGGCCCAATATTTATGCTGATTTATGCAAATGACCAAACTATAAACAGCTGTATAAATATCTATATATGTACAAACTATTTCTGCTTGACACGTCGAAAATGTGTAATGCCTATTTATGGGAACGAGTAGGACGCGCTTTGCTGAGATATGTTAGTCACTGACGTAACAACATCAAATAAATGTCTCTTAATTAATTATTGTCTGCACTTTTCACAGACTGCGCTGTGCTCTCAAGTGTCATTAAACTGTATTATCGATAAAATTGTACGTAATTGTATACGTAAACCTGAGCGATTCGTGAAATCTATCGAATTTTATTTTATTTATTATAAACTGTTTATATACATAATGTTATATATCAAGTTATATATCAATGTTATCTTACAACTTGGAAATGTTATCTGTCCCACGAGCACTTTGACAAATTCATCGTCGATCTGCATGTGCTCATTATCAGTATTTCTTGTAAAGAGATAATTGCAGTGAACATGCCTGGGAAATCCGTACGAGAAAAAAATAAGTGACAAATAAGATTGTATATTATTGTGGAGAAACATGATTATTTGCCTCTGAATTAAACGATTTGATGACACGGCACGAAGCATAGAGTTAAACGACTAGACGCGCATAAATTATACCGATGATTTATGATTGTGCGCGCAAAATGAATTGTGCTATCGAATAATGAATGTTGAAGTGTAACGTTCGGGCCTGTCTTACAATTGTCGATTATGGATACATGAACCCTACGGCAATTTACATTTTCATTAAAGAAGCAATTCTCGAAATGGACCGATTCTCGAAATCGTGTGTAATAAATAATGATTCGAAATTGATTGAAGAACAATTCGTAATCTGGTTATGAAATCCAATTTTTTATTATAATCGAGTAAAAATTGAGTTCTCTCTTTTAAAATAGTCTATTGGAAACCTCGAGTAAAAAATATCTTGGCTATGGCCCAGTCGTTTCAAAACCCGGCATTGAAGGATACGCTCTGACATTGAGAGCGAAAGACAAAAGAATAGGTATACAGAAATGATTTTCACAATCTTTGGGAAATGATGGAACGTCACATAGTGTGTGTCAGTAAACACAAGTGTTAATTCGCCGTGCACACTGGTGCACACCCAGAAGCGACAGCAGATGCGGACGCATATGCACGCGTCAATGCGTCAAGGTCACGCATATATCGAGAGTCATTATAGCCGAATGCACGTCCATACCATGTGTAGTCTTTTGCGCCGTGCTGCTTTCGATTGAAATTATAAAACCGGTTGCAGCATGCAAGAATCTAAGTTGCTGTCGCAGAATCGGTGGATCGAAGTAATAATCCACCGTTGATAAATCTATGAAATAATTTGTTAATAAATTTCCTGAGAAAAATCGTTTACTTACACTATTACCACAAACTGTGACGTCAGGAACAAGAAAATATACAATAAAAAAATTCTTGTAAAATATTTTAATATTTTTCAATATTAAATATATTTCGATAAGACAGCTGCGTGATACCACGTCGTTAGTCACAGATTCGAGAGTACTGAAAATGAATCATGCATAACTAAAAAACAAAATCAATTATGTTCACAGCTATGAAATTGTTAAATTAATAATATAAATAAATATGATTTTTAATTTTGCTTCAAGACAAGAAGATAATTTTCAGTATATTTTATAACTTTATTCTCTATCGATTGCAACTATTGCTTTATAGAAAAATAATTCTATTCAAATATAATTTGCAAAAAATGTCATTTTTTTCACTTCGGAAATTACAATTTAAAATAGTAGTCGTTGGTGAACAGTCTTAAGTTAAGTAATGAATTCGATAGTCTTTTTTTGGAATAATATCATGAGAGAAATGTTGAAGAAGTCAGTCGCGTGATGTATGTATTAATAGGTGTCATAATTGCGCTTTCTATTATTGGATTTATTTCTTTATGGCATCGGATGAATGCATAATATGTTATGCAAGTGAAATAATATATGATAAAAATGTCATTATAATATCACCTGTATAATGTATAAATAACATAATTCGCAAAAGAAATTATAAACAAGAAACAAACAAACAGAGAATGTCAAGTAACAACAAAATATGTTTCACTCCTTTTTGTTTTGTCCGGTTTTGCGACATCAATATCATCAGTTATTCCCGGAGATTGCGATGATCAATTGTCCGTGCAGCCACTTAGAGTATTATTATCTTTCACAATAGAGCCGCGTCGAATTTGTTATTCAGCTGCGAGTTCTGCGAGCATTGATTTCTTCCACTGTTTGTCGACACTCCCGTTCCAGGATTTCGCTCCAAACTCTGTATCGATGGTTTAGGCCTGGTACCGTATGTAAAATCGTCTTGGAGCCCAAAACTCCGACACTTTGATTGGCCGTACCATAAAAAATTCGCGCGACTCTGGAATGCAGCAATGCCATGGCACACAGAGGACACGGTTCCATCAGCAGGAATGCCCAATAACCCGTGCAGAGATACGGTCCGCATTTCTTCGCGTTATCCTCGCATTCCTTTTGCTTCGAATTCTCGATTTTGGCACTGTTATTTCTGCGCCCTTTTCGCACAATTTGCGTCTCGAGGGACGTTTGAACCGGAAACTTTAGCGAAGCTAGAGATTTCGGATAACAGAGCGGTGTCTCTTCTTCGTATCTTCTCTTGATTCTTCTTAGCCTCTTCGAGATCTGATTTTCAGTCGTAATATTTGGATCTGTTCTTTCATCGCCAAATTTATCTTCCTCGATAACATCTGTTTGTCTCTTCGTTTCCTCGCATTCCTCGCATTCCTCATCGTTCAATTTCCATGCACCACCACCGTGAAGTCTAGCAATAAGATCCACCGCCAGCATGGCGGCATGCCACATAGGATGTCTATCAATTTTCGCGGCAGCCACCGCCAGGATTCTTCCATCCTCGGGATCGACGATCGCTGCGGCGCCGGTACAGCGCTCATTGCTGACCGCCTCCAACCTGGCAGCCTCTATTACCAATGACATGATTCGCTCGATTGCGTATAAACAATCCTCGTTGAAGATCGAGCCGTCGATTAGACTCTCAATTGCCTGATCAGGATGGAAATTTACCGGCCAGATTTTCGAAGCTTCGCTGGCCTGTATCTTCGTCCTTGGCGCCTTGGCTGGCACCTTCGTCATTTGGAATTTCTCTTCCAGCAAAGAGAGATCGAATCCTCTCTCCTTCAACTGAGTTTTAAGTTGATTTTCACCGAGAGAAATATCGTGGCCTTTCTCACGTGACAATTCGTCCGAATGAAGCGGAGCCAAAAGCAATTTCCCGTTGGAACAGCGCTTTAGATGAGCGAATCCCGGCAAAATGGTAGATATACTTTTAATTGCGGTGGAGGTGTCCTTCCGTTGTTTCAAAACGCCCACATAGACCTCCTGCAGCGGAGGAGCTTCTGTGAAATCCGAGCTTAGGATCGGTTTCGCCGTCCAGCTTCTAGTTGCAGTCTCCGTCTTGCGTGCCTTGACACTTTTTGGCGACGTCATCTTCCACCCTGAAAAGACGCTGCCTTCACTTATCATTAGAAGATTTCTCGGTGATATTTGCGATACACCGTTCTGTTGAACATTGGAAAGAGTTTATCGTTATCTCTTTATCTCATGCAAATTATTTTTTTACCATTATTTCCAAGATTGTTTCTTTACACAATGTTAATGTTCGTACATTCAGTATTCAACACATTATTTTATTCATCTTTATAAAGTTATATTTTGTAATTTAAGTGTAGTATTATAAGTACAGAGAAGGACGAAATATATTATATATAATTATGTATACAAAAAAATATATAGAATTATATGTATATATAAAGTTCTCTTTGGATTCTATATATATTTAAAAATTTCCAAACGTAGATGTATAATATAAAAAGGCATGCAAATTTGTAAAATGTGATGAAAACAAGATCCTAAATCAACACGGAAATACTTGGAAATATCGAACGATTACGAGAGTGCCTTAAGGATGTTTTCGCGTGTGACGATCATAAATATCGATGAGATTTCGGCGAAAGTAGGAAAGAACGGAGTTGATCCTTGATCCGGATGGCGCCGGATGGATCTTAATTATAATCGGAATTACCCCGCGGGACATCTTATGAAGGAGTAGAAGCGATTTTAAATTGCTGTCAACTTGGGCCACGGTCGGATCGATTGTCAGAGTTAGGCGCAATTGTATGACATCGCTGTCTGCATGAAGAATAAGCGAGACATTGCATTAAAAAGTCCGAAGTTCGAGCCAAAGTTTCCTTTAATTTCAACTGTGCGTAAACATATGCTGAACGTGTGGTCGTCAAAGTCTAATCGTAGCGAAGAGATAGCACTGTCATTTATTACGTCATAATAATGAAACGTCTCCGTCAACGAAACTATCTAATTTTAACGTAAATATTCTCTGCTTAAAGTTCCAACAAATATATTTTTCAAATGCGTGAAATGCATGAAATATGATTGAGATGCGTAAAAATACTTTTAAATAAATATCAAGAATACACATTTATGAAGAGATCTTTACTGAAGAAGAAATAATATAAAATACATAAATTAATAGGCGAGCCATGATAGCCTATTAATTTATATTATTTTTTCTTCGTCGCCACGTAAATAAATTCCTATGTAAAGAAATTCCTACGTCTTTTGGTTGTGTAACATATTATATTCCCGTGTACAGTTTACAGAGTTGAAAGTCGGTATGCATCGCGTCACGCGATTGATAAATAATTGGCACTCGGTAAATTTTTACGCAAAATCTCGATTTTCAGAAAACTGTGCACGCATGAGTGACACATATAGTTGCTACTCTGCTGAAGACCTACTTTGCACGATATATCAGTCATCTGATAGTAGATATCGTGATACCGTAATAATACGCATCTTCCGTATACAAGTTAAAAAATTATAAAACTTTCTACCGTTGGAAATCCGAGAAACGTCGCACAGTTGGAAGAATTCGCTACGCAATTTTATTGTTTAGATTCGTATCTTAATTAACTTAATAGTCTATCAATGAAGCGAATTATCTTGTCGCCATCATTCGTAATGCAAAAGAAGATTAAATTACAGATAATGTACTGTATATTTTTTTCGAGACGCTTTTCGTTATTTATATGATAAAAAATACCCGATTTTGATTTATCTTTTGTGGTTTTAATAAATTTTCATGGTGATTTTCAACATCGTACTATACACTGTTAAATTTATAATATCATATTATACTTAATTTGACATCATAAATTAATTTGAATTATTTTAAATCATTTTTCTGTAGGTCGTCACTACTCCTATTCAATATGCCATTAATTTAACTAAAACAATGGAGTTAAACAGTTTAATTCCATAAATGTATTAAATTTGACTAACATTTATTAGTCAATAGTTATTTACTAATTAAATGCATACATTAATATGAATGTTGTTTATTTTAAAATTAAGCAATTCAATCACAGAAATGGATTGATTTACATTTTAACATTGAAATTAAAAATAAAATGTTTTTTAATTCGAGTGATTAAGTTATCATTGCTCCTTTGATATCTAACAGTGCATGTCATAAAAAATAATTATTATCAATTTATAATCTAATCTATTTAATACAAAATAATTGTTATTCAAAAAATATAATTGTTATCGGCTTATAATCTAATCTATGCTCATAAAAGTTTTTTTATTAGGATGTGTCTTTTTTGCAATCATCGTCGCAATGTGTGTTGATTTAATTTGTCACAATATCGTTTAAATCTCAAGGAATAAGATAAATAAAAAAATGATAAGAATTTATAAGAAAATTATGTAGTACAATTCATTGGTAATACGTTGATTAACTATTGACATGCATTGGGGATATACTGGGTCAATATTGTACCAATAAATTGTGCTATTAGAGTGCGGAAAGGATTATTTGTCCAATGGACAAATAATATGAGAATCACGCTTTGTAAAACTAAGCGTGAGCAGTGATCTTAAAAGATCATTGTTTGACATTGTACCGTGATTGACAAGTAATCGATACGACGTTTATTTTTCCGTAATTATAATATCTATAGATAATTGAATTAAACGCAACTTAATCGACTTCAGTTTTCCTTGAAGAGAAAACTTGTAGATTATTTTGAACAAACTGTCTGTCCTTTTCCGCAATATTTCAAATCGAGCAATAGATAATGAGAATTTTGCAAACATAGCGCATTCGAATTCCGGCACGAGTCGCACCGCTCGTTTAAGATGGCGTCTAAGATTGCACATTTACAGAGCGTGATCCTTACATAACAGAAAAGCGAACAGCAAAAGCGAGCGGAGTAAACGGAGTCCACTCGACGTCGCGGAGTACCGTTTTGAGAGTCGCGACGCGGCTACGCGCGGTATACAAATTTCCGGGGAAAATCTAGCTTAAATTTCCTCTTTATTTTGTCATTTCTTTTTCTAGGACAAGGTCGTTCATCGGGAGTCGTTCAAACGCGAGCGGGAAATCTCGCACTGCAGCGATTTCGAGCAATCGAATTCGAGCGACAAACATGTCCTCCACGGCCTTGGGTTGCGACATGTCGATCGTTAAGCTTGGCTGACGCTAACTGTCAATGGTTGCTTAGAACGGAACTGCATCGATGCGGAACGATGGCCCGTCGCATCCGCGAGGCGCCGTCGAGACGCCACGTGTTCGCCATGCGCACGCACGCACGCACGCACGCACTTTATTCGAAGAATTTTTACCTGCTGCTCCACGGCGGTGCGGCTACGGCCGCATAAAATACGCCCTAGTTTCCTCTTGATATTTCCCCGGCCTCTGACGATCAAGTTCACACCGGAAATCGTATTCCTTGAGCGCGGCAAATTTGTGCTACCAACAGTAACCGGAAACGCGTCGAAACACACGTGAGAATTGCGCGCCGGAGGTACTTCGTATGCGTCGTCGCGACGGCTCGCGTCTCTTTGTGGTATGTAGCATTAGCTGTTTATCACCGAGGTCCACGATGGAGGCGCCTTCTGCCGGCGAGATGAAAGACTTTGCGAGAGGCAGGGATATTCACAGCTTCGGTCACCAGTTAGGTCCGTAAAATTTTTACTTTTCTTGCGGCGAAATCTGCTAGTCGGTCATGGACGCCGAAATTGAACTCCAAACAAGAACTTTCTTCAAATAATCATATTATAGTTATTTAATGTTACGAAATTTATGAGCAACATTCTAAGACTTTTTAAAGGAGATAAAACAGTTACAATTTATTGTAAAAGAATGTTAATTTTTTAAATTTGATTTTTGTATCTATTACGTAAGAATTCTTACGTAAAGCTTATGTTAAGCTTTTACTACATTTACGTTATTTTATAAAAGATTTTATCCAATTTTATTAAAAATTTGGAAACTAATACAAGAATAGATGATTAGAAGGAGAAAATAATTTGCTCGAGAGTAAAAATATATTATATTATTATTATTTTGTATTATCTTGAGTATACATGTATATTCTAAATTTTGAACGAGCCAAAAATCATATCTAAGATTTTTCGTTACTGAGTTATCGCATGAACGAGCCAAAAATCATATCTAAGATTTTTCGTTACTGAGTTATCGCGGATTAAATAAAAGGATCACTGTTGATTGTTCATAATATCATTAAAAAATATTATCGCAATTAACAAAACAGATTCTTAAAGCTGAAACTTTGTCTATAGAATCGTCTCTTCAGTCCTACCCTGATGAATTTTCGTTACTGAGTTATCGCGGATTAAATAAAAGGGTCACTTTTGATTGTTCATAATATCATTAAAAAATATTATCGCAAAACAGATTCTTAAAGCTGAAACTTTGTCTATAGAATCGTCTCTTCAGTCCTACCCTGATGAAAATAAAAATCGGAGTATAAGTCGAATGTAATGAGAGAGTAATAAAAGCGTAAATGAAGCCTCTAAAAGACAAAAATTGAAACAATGGAATATAAAAGAACAGTAAACGCCTCTTTTACGTTTCGTTGTTTCAATTTTTGCCTTCTAAAAGCTTCGTTTATGTTTCTATTACTCTTCCATTACATTCGACTTACGCTCCGATTTTTATTTTCGTCAGAGTATTACTTGATGAAAATAGTTGCTGCGTGATAACTTCTCTCATACGTTTGTGGTGTGCACGCTGATTATTGAAAACAGTCATATGGGATCTACAATTTAATGTCGATTATGATCGACGAAATTTTAGAGAAGTGCTCTTGGCAAAGATATTCTCGGTGGGTTGCCATTTCCTTCCGAGAGGAGACACGAGCGTATGAAAATATTTTAGATCTACCGGGAATCAAATTCGGGATCTCTATCATAGCAAACAGTCTGCTTTGCCACGCTTCCTCTTATAATGAAATCGTATAATTACCAAATTTGTTTTAAGAATGTGTTGAGTGTTGACATGATACAAATGAAGTAGCGCTAGACACTTTTGTTTCAATCTATAATATCTTCCTGGGAAAAAATGTTATATATGGACATACTTTATATATACTTATATATAA